ATTGATACAAAAGTGTGGCCCGAGCCCAGTATCCCCAAACAACATTCTTAGAACCAATGTACCTCCAATTGCCGTTCGCGAATCCAACGGGTCGTCGTTTTCCTCCTGCTCCTGATTGGCCTGCACCCTCGTCGTCGTCTTCGTCGTCGTCGTCGTCCTCCTCCACTTCGTCCTCGTCATACTCTCTCTCTCTCTCTCTCCCTCACGCCCTCCCTCCCCGCTCCACCGCCTCCTCCTCCTACTTCTGTCCTACTTCCGCTCTTCGACCTTCCTCTCAAGACCCTCAAGACCGAACCAGAGTGATCACACGACTCAGTATGCCCAGCCACCGCACAAGCCCCCCGAGGGGAAATTATACCTCTGGTCTGTAAAGACAAAGCGCCAGGCAACAGCTTTCCAAGGTGTGCTACATGTATGTGTAATTATTTGTGTCCCTGAGAGAGAGAGAGAGAGAGAGAGAGAGAGAGAGAAAGAGAAAGATACACAGAGAGAGAGAGAGAGGGAGATAATGATTGGGTGCTGCTTACCCTGGGCGCTACTCCTGACTCAGATGATGGCTCTGTTTTGCCACTGCGCTGCTCTGCTGCGAACATGGTTCGAAATCATCTCGACCACCTCTGGGAAGGGCCGAGCAGCCGACGAGCGCGGCACTGAAATAAACGCTGGCAGACGCACATACACTGGCGTGCCGCCGTGGAAGCACACGCCCCCGCAAAACAAGAAAAGACACGTGCAAGAGACTGGTGCCCACGAGTGTCGTTTGTCAAACATGCGGAGCACGCCGTCTCGACACGCTCCAAGAGTTGAGGTGCATCGATCTCGTATGTTCGGGCGGAGGTCTACTCTGCATATGCCTCCGTTGCAAAGCGTCCTCGACGGGCTATTCTGTCAAGTGATGGCTCTGTGGGTGAGGGGAGAGGGAGGCAGGAATGGTGAGAGTCGCAAGGAAAGGGGCCATGGGGAACGAGGAGCCGACCCTCTGGGCAAGGCCTGTCCCTGTCACGAATCTTCTGAATAGCTTGTTTCTCTCACTGGAGCGTCTTGGGCGCACACACGGCTCCATGAGGCTCAGCACTTTCTGTGTAGCAGACCTTCCGCAAAAGCTACAGAAAACGAGTGGAACTCCACTAACTTGAATTCTTGCTGCGTGCAGAGAATGCCCTGGGCCCCCTCCTGATCGCTTTGGCTCAACAAGGCTGGGGGCCAGGGCCTGATTAGGAACATTCACTCTTGGCAGAACACACGCGTAAAAGAATTTTTTGCACCGAAGCGCCGACCTGTCCCTGGTGGGTAGGTGGAGGTTTGCCCTGCTTCCTCCTGCCCTCTCGGGAGCTCGCACGCCGCAGGCAACTCGAATCCGACCGAGCCCGCTGCTCATTGACTGCGGATCTGTCAGCTTGCTGACAGGCCGCGGCGGCGTCTGCCAGCTCGAGGAGAAGCAGGAGGCCACTTGGTGGAACACGAGGAGAAGCCCAGGAGCAAAACGTGGCTGGATGCACCAGGCCGGTGGTCCGGCGGGCGGCGCAGCGCGACGGCGGACAGATGAAGAGGAAATAAGGGGACTTGAGATTGATGGCTCGCGACAGGAAGGCGTATTGCAGCGTGGTTGATGCATCTGGGGCTCTCCCTTACCTCGCCCCATCCACCTCCTCCTCGCCCTCATCCTGCTGGTCCTCTTCTTCCTGCTCATCCTCGTTCTCCTTCTCCTCCCCCTCCCAATCCTCTTTTCGATCGAGGCTTCTTCCACTTGTGCTCAGGCATGGCGCTCCTGCCTGAGACCGCCTCACAATCTGCTCAGGAACCGTTTTTTTGTTCGCTCCGGCGCCAGCTGCCCCTTTCCCTCGGGCCGGGGCCGCCTGGCTTCGTCCAGGAGAACATTTCGACACCTGACACCAGACACGGCGTCGTGCGAATGGGGGGGGGGGAAGGCAGAGGAGGCTTCTCGCACGGCCTCCAGCCTTCGAAGAAATTTGCTCAGCCTTCTCCGGAGATGCAGGAAGCTTCTCAGATGGCCAGAGGGTTTCTGAGAAGCCTCGCCGCCTTTCGAGAAGGCCTGCCCCCCCTCTCACTTCAGGCCTGGCCTGTTTCAGTTCAGGCATCCTCACAATTCTGTGCTCCGAGATGCCGCACTTCAGGTGGTCTGGCCCGTTTCGCCTGAGACATACTCGCAACTCTGGGCTCCGAGATGGCGCGCATCCTCGCAACTCTGGATTCCGAGATGCTGTGCGCAAGGTACTCCGGCCTATTTCGCTTGAGACTCCGCAGCGATAGACTCCGAGATGCCACGCGCGAGGTGTCAGCCAGGGTAGCTCGCATGATGAAACGTTGTTGGATTATACTGTCTTGTCCATGGCTTCCGCATTTTGATCTCGAGCTGGCACGTCCGACGTTGGCTAGCGTGCAGCGCAGCGTGTCTCTGAAGCCGTTCCTCGTCGGGGGTGGGCGCTGTTTCGAAAAACCTTGCTGGGAAATCAAGCCTTGCTTCACTTCGGGGCTCGGCGCTGGCCGAGGGATCGGCGCGGCCAAGCCATACCCCCCGTGTCGGCGCACGCGCAGCGAGCATCCGGGTACTGTTCGACAGGTTCTGTGCTGTCTGCCCCCACGCCGTTAGTTGTAAACTCGTAATTACCCAGTGTGAGCTGACCCGAACGACTGCACCCGCCGCGAGTTGAGAAATACCACAGCGGATTGAAACATTGAAGGGGTTCTCGTTGACAGAAACACGACCCATGGCGCCTGGGCGAAACTTGAGCTTCCATCTGTTCTCCACACCAATCTTCACGCAGATGTTCACTCAGGTCTGCATCGGCCCAGGGGGGACAACATTTCACACCGCGGTGGCCCAGCTGCTGGCCGTAGGAGCGGTCCTTCCTCGGCTCCGGAGGGCAGGCAGCCCTGCGACGCAGCGCCGTAGGTTCCGTGCGCCAGCTGTCTGAGGAGGGGCCCCGTCCTCGGCCTCTGGGGGCCTTCGCAGGGCCCCACAGGTTCCCAAGGTTTCCCTTCCTCGGGACGCATTCCAGCAGCTGCGCCTCGCCGAGGGCGTTCCAGGGGTGCCAAGGTCGTCCCGGATGGCTGCCCGAGGCCCGAGTCGTAGCGGAATCGTGAAGACGTCTTGAGAGAAACGCCGCGCGCCCGTCTTTCGGTAAGACAGAGTTCTTGCCATACCTAAGCTCCTTTCGCCACAACGATCTGGAGAAATCCCACCAGCCCTTTGGAGCGTGAGTGGTTCTTCGGGGAAGGGTTTATCACTGTTCCCTATTAATGAACACCCCCTCCCCCAGGCGACTGGTAGCCAACCCAGAACCATGAGGGCTCCCCCCACCATCCCTTGTAAAACAACCATACAAAACACACTCTGCCTTCAAATTCGGGGCATGCGCCGCCAACCCGATGCGGCCTCCCCCCACCATCCCTGTCATAAAACAATCCAGGGTACACTTGGCGGCGGCTGCGGCGGCTGCGGCGGCGCGGGTGGCGGCGGCGGCTGCGGCGGCGGCGGCGGCGGCGGCGGCGGCGGCGGCGCGGCGGCTGCGGCGGCGGCGGTGGCGACGGCTGCGGCGGCGGCGGGGCGGCGGCGGCGGCGGATTGGCCCCCAGTAGCTGCCCATCCAAAGACGACTGCTGAATATGCTGAGGCTCGGGCCAGACTCGGGTGCTACGTATGTGTTGAGAGGGCGGGTGGGAGTGAGTGAGACGGCTTGCGGGCCGGGGAGGGAGTCTTGACCTCTCTCCCTACCCTCTTACCCCTGGACCTGGACGGGGCGCCCCGCGAAGTGTCCGAGGTTTTTTTTGGGGGGGCCTCGGCGAGACAGCCCAAATCAATCAACTTTCCAAACATTTGAACTGACTGTGGCCTCCCGGGGGGGAAACAAAGTTACTACCCCCCCCCCTCTTTGACCGATCTCCTCCAAGATGGCCCCCGAGGCCCCCAAGATGCCCCCAAGAGGCTCCCAAGAGACCCCCAAGAGGTCCCAAGAGGCCCCCCCGAGACACCCAAGACGCTTCAAGATGCCCCTAAGACGCCAAGTGGCCCCCAAGACGCTCCAACAGGCCCACAAGAAGCTCTGGAGAGGTATCCGACGAGACCCCGAGAAGTATCCAGAAGGCCTCTGGCCTTCCTGTTCGCCCTTCTTATCATCCTCCTCCTCTTCCTCATCCGCCTAATTCTGCTACTCCTTGCTCCCGTCTCCCTCTTCCCTCCTCTTTCCTCCTCCTCCTCCCCCTCCCCCTCCCCCTCCCCCTCCTCCCTCCTCCTCCTCCTCCTCCTCCTCCTCCTCCTCCTTCTCCTCCTCCTCCTCCTCCTCCTCCTCCTCCTCCTCCTCCTCCTCCTCCTCCGGTTCCTCCTCCGGTTCCTCCTCCGGTTCCTCCTCCGGTTCCTCCTCCGGTTCCTCCTCTATCCGCCCTCTCTTAGGGTATGACAGCTTCCCAGACTTTATTCCACTGCTTACTCTCCCACATGCCTGATCAGGGCAACTCGCTTGGACATCGTTTATGTATGAGCTGGTGGGGTTACGCGAAGTTTCTAGAATGGCTAAAATTGAAGCATGGTCGCAACACGCGCACACGCTGAGAAATGCTAGAATGCATATGTGCATTTCTCGAGTTAAAATCCGAGCGAAGAGGGCACCCTCAGCCCCCAGTCGCCAGAGCGATACCGAGCTGAAAAAGCGGAGGCGCACACGCTTGCACAACTACGATACGACTGAGCATGCTGGCCAGTGTGCACGACCAGTCAGCCCAAAGACGCCTGCGAATGAGGCACGATTCGGGGGTCGTGGAGGGGACATCCAAGGTGTCCTTGCAATTTCTTGCATCTTATCTGAAGGCCCCCTAGGCCATCTGAGCTTCGCGAGGGGTGCCCTGGGCCGTGGTACTCCTTGGGGCCAGGGACACCTCCAGCAGCACGCGACCGCACGCGCACCCGGCCCTGGCGATCGCACCTGGCTCGCGGCGCGGCGCGGGCGCACCTCGGCGACGCCGGCGGCCATCCAGACTGCTGGATCACAAATGGTGCACCAGGGCCGGGCCCGACGCCACGCAGCCGGACTGGGCGGCGCGGCCCGCTGGGGATGGCGGCCCGCCAGCGCTGTCGTGGGCGGCCCGCGGATGCGCCGCCGTCGCCGCCTGGGGGGCTGAGTCCATCGGCGCCGAAGCCTCGAGCGTCCTGGCGGCTGGGCGCTTCTGCGGCGGCCATGGGCTTCTGGGGGAGCTGTTCATGCTCGCAGCCGTGCCAGAGAGGGGGGCGCTGCAGTAGTACATGACGTCCTTCGGTGCGGGCTGACGTGCGAAAGCTTGGACGCCCGTGGTCGAGTCGCCCGGGGCGTGACGAGGATCTGATGTGGCCCTGGCCCAGCGTGCAAGGCCCAGGTGGCCGTCGCAGGCTGGGGCGCCCGTCGACGGTCGTGTGGGGCTCAAGTCGCCCAAACTGCTCGAGAAGCGGGGCGCCGTCGTCAGCGAGTGCAAGTCGTCTGAGGGACGAGCCGCCTTCGTCAGCTCATACAGCACATCTCGCGTCACGGCGCGGCCGAGGCGGAGCCCCGGGGCCCGCAGGGCGGAGCCCGCGCGGGCCGCTTCGCCCATGGCCGCGCCCGTGGCGCCCGCCGCGCGACACGCCCGGAGCTCGCACGTGAGCGCCCTGAGCAGGTCCATGGCCGCGGAGATGTCCGGGCCCGAAGGCGACATCTCGTCGGCCGTCTGCCTGCTGCCCGGCCTCGCGTCCCATGCCTGCGCGGCCGCGCCCGCGCCGGAGCCTGGGGCCGCAGCGGCGACGTCGCGGTGCGGGCCTTCGCGCCCCGCTGGAGTGCCGCTCGCGAGGTGACCTCGGCGGCGCGCACGGGGAGGGCAAGCTGCCGATACCACTGCCCATCCCCGTCGCCACGGCTGGGTTCGCCTCGAGATCCTGGTCAAAACGCGCCCCAGGGAGCAGCGGTGTCGGTACGGTAGAAGGAAACAATTAGTACCCCCCCCCCCTGCCCCCCAAACTCAAAGTTGGCACGCGCGGGGGAGACTGCGGTCGAGGTGCAACTCATCAGACCCACCGCCAACTTTGAACCTTGGGGGGAGGGGGAGGCGTTGACAGATGAATGTGGCATGAGTGTTCGCTATGTTTTTCCGAGGCCTGTATCTCTTCGTTCACCCCACTCCGCTCCTCGTGGCGGCGCGCGCAGGATCCCCGAGAGGCCCTCCTGGAAGCGCGAGGGCCCCCCCTGGGAGGGCCCCGTGCCTTCTAAAAAGCCCCCCCCCCCATTCTTGGAAAGCCGCCTCGCTTGCGCCATCCCCTGTGCGTGCCGCCACGCCTTTTCCATCTCCTCTGCCCCTCCTCCTCCTCCTCCTCAGAAGTCGCCCCCGAGACCTCTCCTGGGGTGCGCTGCGGCCGAGATTTCGAGTGGACTCCAGCCTGGATGTTCCAAAAGGTGGGGGCATGTAACAACAACAAATGTTGTGGCTGCGGGTGACCGTCGCAGTCGGCCTCGACCTCCTTTATCAGGTGCGTCTGGTCCCAGACTGACGAACCGCTCTTCGACTGCCTGACGTCCGTGCCGCCGATGCTACGGCAGTCTGGGCCCCCTGGCAGAGCTGCAGACGCGCTCAAACTCGAACGACTGAGCTTCAAGTCGAATTGGTACTTCAGGTCGCTCATCTCCCTCACCATGTCGGCCATCATGCTCTGTGACGCGCGCATCTGGTTTTGCATCGCCTCGACCATCTTCTCCACCTGGAGGATCAAAACTGCATCAACATAAGCTTTCGGTGGTCCGCGCGGATTACTTGGATCGGCGTTGGACACCCCTTCCTGGCGCGCGGAGCGTGCCGAGGGCAGCGCCCGAGGCGCCGCCAAGGGACCCAGCGCCGATCCAAGACATCCGCGCGGAACGGCGAACGTTTCTGCTTACGCAGGTTTTATTCTTCGACTACCCGCTTGATCTCGATGGGAGCCTTCGACGTGCATACCTGCCAGAGCCCTTTGATGAACTCGTCGATGTCGACCTCCCCCGAGCCGTCACAATCGAGTGCCTGGAACAACTCTAACGGATCCGACATGCCCATTATGTTGACGAGCATCTGCCTGTCCTTCGGGGTCCCAAAATGGTGTGGTGACAGACCGTGCGGTTGACCTCACCGCACGGTCCGTCACCGCACGGATTTGGGAACTTGGAGGCCCCAATCGCACGATACATCTCGAAGAACGACCCAAATCCCAAAAGCGTGCGGTGACCCCGAAGCCCCGCTGACTCACCACACGGTGTGGTCACCACACCGTGTGGGGGCCCCCAAATCCTCGTCTGAGACCCGCGCAATCTCATCCATGCTGATGTGTCCGGAGGCATCCACGTCAAGCCGAAAGAAGAGCTTGCGAAGCTCCTTGCACATCTTCCTCTTCTTGTTGTCCTCCAACTTCTTCACCAACTCCTTGTCTGCCATGGCCTGCTCGAGAGCATTGTTCACCACAACGGCGGTGACGAGGTTCATGAGGAGAATGCCCACGATCACGATGATGCTGATGAAGAAGAGCGCAAGTCTCCAGTCGCGCTTGATCAACGGCTCGTATATGAGTACTACGTTATCGAAAGACACAAACTGCATGAGCGTCATCATGGTCTGCGGTAGGGTATTGAAACTGTGCTCGACGATATCGTGGAACGTTGGATCGCCATCTTCCCGTCTAGCTAAATGGTGCTTGGTGATGACCTCAACCGCCACAACCGAGAACAAATACAATATCACGACGATGAGCGTGATCGTGTACACCATCGTCCGCGCAGAAACCAGCAGACCCTGCACCAGCATCCACAATTCTCGAAACTGCTTGATCAGCCGCACGGAACGGGCCAGCCGTAGGAGGCGTAGCATCCTCACCATGCTCACCATCCCCATTCCCTGCACATTCCCCATCACCGGGGGGATGATCCAAAAGCACAAGACGCTCGTGCCCACCAGGAAGGCGTCGAATCTCACCCAATTGTCGCTAAAGCACTTGCCACCCGTGGATACACAACGAATAAACAACTCCAGCACGTACATGGTCAAGAAGAAGTGCTCGAGATATGCGAACGCTGAGATGTCGATCTCGGCAAGTTCGAAGGACTGCTCTGCGCCAATTGCGACGGCATTGGCCAGAATGACCACGCCGATGCACGCATCGAACCCCGACAGCATCCAGGCGATCACCTTCCGCGGCGTCTCGACCACGGAGGAGGCATCCGACCTGCGGCTCGACACTGTGGACAGACGGCCGCTCGATCGGGTGTGCTCCTCTCGGCTCTACGCACAAGCGACCCTGGGTAAGAGTGACCTTTGGTGCGCCACTTTTTGGGGGCCGCGGGGGGGCCAGACCTGGGCGCGCAAGCAGCCGCTGCGCTTCGTTTTCAGCCATGGGGGGGCCCAGCTGTGCCCGCACCACAGGTCACTTCGGCGAGAGGTCACTCTTACGTCTAGTCGATCCTCGGGGCCCGAATCCGCGTCCGCCTCCTTCATGGTGGCCCTGCGGACGGCGGGCGCCGGTCGCGCAGGGGGGCGCCCGCGCGATCGCCGCGGCGAGGCGGCCCGCAGCGGGGCCCGCAGGCAGCAGGGAGAGAGGCGCCAGCTCAGGCCGCCGCCCCCGCGGCGACGGCCACGGCTAAAAGCACTTGAGGCAAAAACGACCTTCGGAGGGGAGGAAGGGGAGGAGGAGGAGGAGGAGGAGGAGGAGGAGGAGGAGGAGGAGGGAGGAGGAGGAGGAGGAGGAGGAGGAGGAGGAGGAGGAGGAGGGAGGAGGAGGAGGAGGAGGAGGAGGAGGAGGAGGAGGAGGAGGAAGGGGAGGGGAGGGGGAGGAGGAGGAGGAGGAGGAGGAGGAGGAGGAGGAGGAGGAGGAGGAGGAGGAGGAGGAGGAGGAGGAGGAGGAGGAGGAGGAGGAGGAGGAGGGTCCGTAGCCATTTTGGCTCAAGTTGCCATCTTCTCAAGGTGGTACAGTGTCCAAACGTTCAAGCCACACGGGGTAGGTAGGCGGCATAGCCTCGCCTCCGTGGTTGGCTTACCCTTTAGGCCAAAGGCGGCCGACTCCATCCATCCACTCTCGACGAATGGGCAGCCATGGCAGTCCGGCGTTGGTATGTGGGAAGTGTGGCAACAAGAAGAATCCACCGTGGTATCAGTCTTGTTACCATTGTCATGCTCCTCTCCCTCGTCTTGTTCAGCAGCCCCCTCAGCCTCACCAGCAGTTCACGGCATGGAAACCGCAGTGGCAGGGCAGCTGTGCAGGAGCAGTGGGAGGAGGAGGAGGAGGAGCATTCCAGTACCCGAACCAGTACCAGCAGGGCAAGAGTAAAGGAAAAGGGGCATCTTCGAAAGGCTACGGCAAAGGTGTTTGGCTTCCAGACTCCTACCAAGGCTTCCTCCAGTTCCAGGACGCAGGCAAAGGGGCAACCAAGGGACTCGGAACATTGGGAGGCTATCAAGACCTCGCCCAGCTCCAGACCCCAGTTTCGAAGCCAGGTCGACCTCCTCGGACTTCGGGACAGCCCTCTTTGGAGCAATCACTCCAGAACACCCTGGCCCAGCTCAAGAAAGCTGACATGGACCCCACAGTGGTCTCGCAGTTTGAGCAGGTTTGTGGACTTGTCCAACAAGAGCGCGCAGCGCAGCAGCCCCCCTCCCAAGTTCTCCTCAAAGGGGAACGGGCAGTTCGGAACAAGAAGAAGAGACACTCCAAACTCCAGGGGGAAATCCAGGAAATCGAGACCATCATCCAAACCCTCCAACTTCAGAAGGACCACCTCCAAGAACAGTCAGACTTGGTCCAGGCAGAAATTGCGTCGCTTCAAGACAAGCAGGCCAAGCAGTTGCAGGTGCATGTACAAGGCCAGGAGAAGCAAACATTAGAAGCTTTGCTCAGCGTCCTCGACGACCACCCGCAAAAAGAAGCAATTCTGTCGGAATGCCAGCAAGAGCTCCAAGAAAGAGGATTGGAATCAGACGAGGAGGATGATGTGTTTGATCCAGTAACAGGGGGCATGGACATGTCAGAGATGTCAGGGGAATTTGAGTTTTCTGCAGACAAAACCCTGGACCAGCTTGACGAGGAGAAAGGATACAGCACGAAGGGACACAAAAGAGCAGCAGAGGCGGACATTGGGCCACTCATTGCGAAGCTTCAGCAGTCACACGCTTTTCGTAACTCAGTCCCAGAAGGAACTACTCCTGAGGCATCTGCGAAGTTGGTTGAGGCGTATGCAAAGAAGTCGATGGCAAAGGGCAAGCAAGTCAAAGGGAAAGGCAAAGGCAGTGGCGGCAGTGCAAGCAGCGCAGCAGCAAGTGTCATGCAGAAGGGAAAGGATTCTGCGGCCAGAGCCCGCTCAGCCCCACCAGTTTCAGGAGCAGCAGCAGTTCGGCCTCCAGCAGGAGCAGGAACTCCTCCCACCCCAGCACAGGCCTCCCAGCAGCCAGCGGCAGCAGCAGCGGCAGTTGCAGCAGGGACAGACGAGATCTGAGCAGGGCCAGGAGGAGGGAGAAGGGCTTTCGGGCCCGCTGGCGCGCCGACCACAACGTCGCCATCGGCGCCGCCAAGCTGCTCGCCTCCTCGACTTCACCGTCGTTACGCTCAATGTGTCGTCGTGGGGGACGGGGGAGGAGCTTGTGGGCAGTGTTGATGCTGATGTTATCCTTGTGCAGGGAGCATAAGCTAAGTGGAAGCAAGTACCAGTCAGTTGTCTCTGCATACAGGAGAAGAGGATGGACGGTTTTCGGGACATGGGGCTTTCCAGGCAAATATGGGGGCATGTCGAATGGCACGCAAATCTTTGTGAAAATGCGTGGTCCAGCCCCAACCACGACAGTATTATCCCAGGGAGAACGGCCCGATGCTTTATCCGCACCTCCTGCAATGGTATAGTGGCCATCTACTCCATCTACTTAAAGTCGGGAGGAGGAGTCGGTGAGGATAATCTTGGCTATCTACGAACCTTGGGACATGATGTTCTGCAACACGGCCACTCCTACATCATAGGAGGGGGCTTCAATATACCGCTGCAGCAATTTGTTGAAACCATTGAACTTGTTCAGCTGGACGGCCGAGTCCACGCAGACGGCAGTGTCCCTACATACCAGTCGGGTCCCAATGATTCTATGTTAGACTATTACGTGGTCTCCAACCTTCTATCACAGGCGGTGCAGAGGGTGACCACGAGCTTGGACATACCCTCGAAACCCCATAGACCAGTGGAGCTGAAGCTAACCAGAGCGACGGCAGATCTTACGGTACTTATGGCAGAAGCGTATGAGAAGGTCCCCAATCAAAGAGCGGTAGGCCCGTCGAGCCCCCCCCCCCAGACTACGCAGACCTGCATACCAAGTTTCTGGATTTCATGGGCCAGCTCCAGACAAGCGAAGACAGCTACACCACGCTTTCTCCCAACGGTCACCGGCACCATGAAGGTCTTAACCTGCTGGATCAGGTATACCATGAATGGAACCTCCGCCACAGACAAGAGGTCTATGAAGCAACTCAGACGTTTCCCAAGCAGGGCAAGAAGTTGGGCAGCCACCCTATTCTCAAATAAGTCCCCTTGTCAAAGTTGCTGCGGACCAAACACCCCGAAAAGGTGATGCCAGAGAGAGCTCTAGCATGGGTCGTGGATCGACTCTCTGAAATCCGAGCTATTTACTTCTACGGCCTCACCACTACTCCCCGTCAAAAAGCTCATCTTCGCAAGCTGGAGGACTCTCTCAGGCAGCTTCCTAAGAACGGAGGACCTTTCCGAACACATTGGACAGAAGGAATGACGTACCATGAACGTCTAGCTGAGCTCGCCTAAGCTCTACCATATGCTCCAAGTCCCATCGACCTCATCAATACCTCCCTCACCTTCTTTGTTAGCTTGCAGGAAGTCAGCCAGGGCAAGGACAAGAAGGAGCAGCAGCAGAACTGGGAGGAATGGTATGAGAGAGCATGTGAAGGAGGAGGTCAGCTGGTCTTTAGGCATCTTAAGTCAGGAGGCCAGCAGGAGGAAGAGAATGTCATGACGGAGTTCGGTTGTTCGTCAACGCTTTCCCAACTGATTGCCAACCAACTTCAATCTTGGTCAGCCAAGTGGCAAGCGACGGATCATGAACCAGAATTACCTGAATGGCTTCGGAGTCGAGCAGCGTGCACAGTCCCAGGGCCTGCTCCCCCGAAGGCCATCCGCAAAGTAGCAGCTTCGTTCAAAGAGAGGACCTGCCAGCCAGATGGCTACCACCCTCGTCACGTCGGTTTTGGCAGCGATGCAAGCCTAGAGGTCTTGGGGCTCTTATATGTACTCATGGACATTCTAGGCGAAGCCCCTTGCCAAGTTCGCTTCCTCCAGCTCCTCCTCGCCCCCAAGCACAAAGGAGAAGATGCATTGGCTTCCTCCCAGCGACAGTTCGGGTACATGGGAAGTTTGCAGCCAGGCAGTGCAAGGAGTGGGAGAGAGAGCATGGGTTAGGAGGAGATTTTAGTGCAAGCCAGAGCCGAAGCCCAGAAGACACGGTATGGCGGAGAGCAGTGCGTAGCGAAGCAGCAGCCAGTGTGGGGCATTATTTGGCAGTACTTTGGGATTTGAAGAGTTTCTATGATATGATGGATCATTCTATTTTGTGGAACCATGGGCAGAGCAGCAGCTATCCTCTCCACATCCTCGCTTACTCCATTAACATGTATCGGTGGCCACGAAGAGTGATGTTGAATGGAGCTTTCTCGAAGCAGGTGTTTTCGGAGCGAGGAATCACAGCAGGCAGCAGTCCAGCGACTTACGAAGCGAAGACATTTCTCATCCCGGTCCTAGCCGAAGTTCAGTCACCCGATTGCTCCAACTCCCTCCACATCGATGACCTCACTCTCTCTTGCTCGGGCCTCTCCTTCACTGCCGTCTTGGAGAACCTCGTCGCCCATGCGTGCAGAATGAAGCAAGAATTAGACGGGGTCATATTGAAGTTGGCAATGCCCAAGATAAGCGTAGTAGGCAGCAGCACGAGCATTGTGGACAAAGCGAAGCAGGTCTTAGGCGAGCTAACAGGGACATGCCCTTGGGCATCTGAAAATCTCGGAGTAGATTTCCAGGCAGGCAAGCACGCGAAGCATCGCCAAGCCAGAGTAGTTCGCAAGAGACGTCTACAAACCCTAACAGCAAAGCGCACAGGCTCCATAGAATGCGAGGCACCAAGATCAAGCAGATGAAAGGCCGTTTCTTCTTGACAGGTGTTCGACCAACCATCCACTACGGCGCGGCAACAGCGGGTTTCACGCCGGCTGAAATTCGGATGCTCAGAACGCTGCAGGCTAAGACATCCCCTTGGTTCCAGGAGCGGGCACAGTCGGATCTCTGGTGGGCCTCGGTAACCAGTGTCGAAAAAGATCCTCTCCACTTAGCAGCAGCAGGCATTGAAAGGTATGCAATGGAGTGGTGGAACACCACTTCGCCTCGCCCAGAAGGAGTTTTACACGCGGACGCGCTCACCCCCAAAGAGTTAACGGAAGCTTT